GTGAAGAGGAATCCTACAAGGGAAGATTCTACACGAGACCTGCGCACCGAGAGGTAATTGTGAAACAATGATGATTCAGTAAGCATACCAATGTACTAGGTCCTAAATCGCTTCCGCATAAATCTAAGATTTCCTTCAGCTTTTGCTATTTGTTGCTAGTGCAACCTCCTCACATAATCAAGATGTGACTTCTTTATATAAACACACACCATTAGTGAAAGCAAATGGATGCTAATAAATTCTAGGACTATTGGTCCTTTCAAGTTTGAGATCCTCATCACTTCAGGGATGTTATTTATTATATTCTTGTTAGTTCAGATGGTATTTTGCTTACTTATTGGTTATTTCTTGTTTTCTCAATCTGGCGGGAGTGTTCAGAATATGTAGCAATTAGGAAAAAAAAAAGGAGATTGTATAAGAACACAATTATATTAGAGTTTTTAGGTCATAAGGTTACTTGAATAAGAGAAGATAAAGCATCATCGCTGTTGATTCTCCCTGTGTGAGATGAGGATAGAAACTTCCTATTCGATGATGGTTTGCTGTGTGTAATCTAAATGGAGAAACTACACACCAAGGTGGAAAGGAATAAGTGCCTATCCTTGTTTATAAACAAGGCCTAACATCGAAGCCCACTTGAGAGAAGTGCTCAATAATAACAGACCCAATAACATTAGCTGTCACTATTTGGGCTAAACTAAAATATTTCATAAATGGTTTTCATGCTATGATAATGGAATTACTTTTAAGTGACTTGATGCCTCCTTCCGCGTATATGGTTTTATTAAGAGAGCGGTTTGGTAGGAAAGAAATTCTTTTTGTCCGAAAAAAATGATTTTTGAAAATATGGTGAATTTTTTTTTTCATGTAAGTTACTAAAAGATATTTCATAAGCTAAATTTTTTTCGAGAATATTGAGTTAATTTTAATAATACTATATTTGGTTGATTGTAAAATATTGATGTGAATCTGAATTAAAATTATAAAATTATACAGCCTTAGGGATGCAGAAAAGCAAATGAGGGGAACTTTTTTTACTAATAAGGGTGTTTTAATCTTACACAAGTGTGATGGCTTTCCCACCTCTTGGGAATTTTTTTTTTCCATACTATTGATTAGAGGTGGCAAAATGGGTGGGCCTGTCCTGCCCCGCCTTACTACCAACTCGCAAGAAATGAGTTAGCTTGTCACGCTCCACATTTTGAAATGGGTTGAAAATCCCAACCCATACCATTTTGTGGTAGGTTGGCAGGTCAACCCGCCTAAAAAATAAAAAATAATTTGAAATAAAAAATAAATTATATTTTATTAATTTATAATATTACTTATTTTCATTTCACAATTCCCTTAGTTTTTTTTTAATCTCAAACTTAAATGTATACTAATATTCAATCAGATATTTTTTTAGAAACTTATATTTGCCTCCATATATGGATAACCTTTGTCATAAATAAATTTTTCCTTCTTTATTTTTTCTAGGGGAGTACTAAGATAAAAAAAATTCATATCACAAAAGCATAGTGACAAATAATATTTTACTTGTTAGTAAAAAAAAAAAAACTGACCCACGGGCCAACCCACCGCCAACTCGTTTTGACCCACAATTAAGTGAGGCAGGTTGAAATATATAACCCAACCCGCCCCGTTTTGGCGAGTTGACCAGTCACGTTTAACCCATATTGTCACCTCTACTATTGATGATAATCTTTAATAACAATTGTATGTGGAAAAGCAAATGACAGGAAAAAAAGAATTCCAGCCTTATTTTTACTCTTCCTTTTACCAAGAAAATGACTTTCCAAAAAAAAATTCTTCTCCTATCAAACACCCTTCATCCTTAAATTGAATGTATGACTTTTTTTATTGGTAAATTAATGAATGTATGACTTTAGTACTTAGGCTTGAATTCCCACAAGTTTTAGGGAAAGTGACCAAAATGTCATGGGACAAGTTCGCTACCCGGTGTAGTGAACTCGGTTTGTTGAAGTGTCACGTTTCTAGTGGACACCAACTTGATTTTAACATGTAGGCGAACTTCATTTTTTTTTAAAAAAAATTGATATTTGTTATCCACTAAAAATTTGACACGTCAGCAAACCGAGTTCGCTACACCGGGTAGCGAACTTGCTCCCGTGGCAGATTGGAAAATAACACTGTTTGCGTGGTATTTAGGTAAAAAAGTTGGTGAACAGTGGCATTTTGGTCAGTGTTCCCAAGTTTTACCACTATTTGTCGTTCTCTGCTCCAATTATTTTTTAATAATTTGTATGGGTTTGTTTTTTCTGCAGTTACCGCAGATAAGTTATATGCAGTAAGCTCAATACGATATTGTTTTAGGACAGAAATCATAGTATTTTTGTAATTTTAATTTATTTTAAGATTATTGTAGTCTTTATAGTTATAATTTTTTTATTTTCCAATTCCAAAATGACGTCGTTTTAGAAGTAAATGCAGATAACTTATCTGCGTTAACTGAAGAAATATTTTTCTGAACTTTTATTATCCTCATGCTTCCATAATTTTTATTTTGTTTCATGAAGTTTCTGGCTTTCCTTCTTTGCCCATTTGGCTTTTCAGAAATCTATACCCCTTGATATCAAGCATTCAATTTTTATATATCTTATTGCTAGCCCTTCATATTTTTTTTCTTACTTAACCACAACATTGTCTGACCAAAATTTCTCAGCAGCAGATGATATACCGCATTGTTCGGTGCAAAATTAAAGTGGGAGGAGGGGTTTGATTGGTAACCCAAGAAACTCAGGAAAAACAGGTATCGTAAGTAATCATAATGGTTAATGGGGACTATCTTGACTAGTTCTCCTTCATGACAACATGTTTTTCTAACTGGGGCCTCTTTGACGTTTACCTTTCGCTGGAGACTCTGGTAGTTGGGGAATACCCATCTTGTGGGAAAAATCTAATATACTCGGCTCCCCCATTGAATATTCACTGCAATTATAGTTTAAAATAAAATTATAAATTATATGGTTCCGTCGTTTTTCATGTGACTGCTGATGAGAAAAGTTGCAGTAAATTTTTAACATTATGATACACGTGCGGATTCTAGGATACACGTGCGGATTCTATCAAAAAAAAAAAAAAAACCAGGATTCGGACGCGTATCCTGTGTTGCTGCACTTTTTCTCTTCTGCAGTCACATAAGAAATACTTTCCCCAAATTATATATTATAGAAATATATAATTATAATATTAATTTTTTTTCTCTTTTACATAAAACATGTTAAGCTGATGTGTCGTATTCCCATTGATAGAGTGCATTTGGGACGGAAGTACTTTTCCACCTTGTGCGTTTCATTTGTTTTAGATTGTATTGTCATCTATGTTCACGAAGCTATACTTAAAAAATATATTTTACCAAATAATTGTAGCTTAATTCATACATAAGAGTTGAACATGCGAGAATGAGAGGACGTGTTTGATCCTCGTCAATATTATTTTTGGAAGAGATTTAAAACCTTAATCTTTGCATTCCTCCCGAATAGAATTGTCTCCTGTAAAAAATATATGTGATTTATAAAAAAATAAAAAATAAATAAAAGTATATTTTTGCTTTAGATAACAGAAGCACGTGCATCTTTTAAAGGATACACGATTACGCACTTCTTATCAACCATCCACTCTCTTTTGTAAAAATGGGAAACAGAAAGAATGGAAGTGACTAAAGTGAGGCAATAACATGCCCATTTTTACTCATAGTTACCCAAAACGCGGTATGCACGGTTTGAGTGATACTTTATAACCCAGAGACATAACTGGATGTCAGTGGACACTACTAACTACATTTGAAAACCCAAAATTTTGAATGTAATGTACTACTTACTAGTTGGTTTTTTGTTGGAATACACATATATATACTTCCCTTCTAAGTAATAAGAAAGTAGCTTAGGTTCAGCTTGTTAGTTGTTACTGCTGCATCTGTTTACATTACATTACATTACATACCACGAAAAAGTGATATTTTTTTTGCTTCATATGCGGAATCATCTTTTCATAAGCCTTTTCCAGTTTAAGCCAGCATATTCACAATTCCTAATTAAAAGTATTATTCCATCACCTTGTATTTGCTTCTATTATACGTTTCTGGACTCTTGTTTAGACCATCAGGGCCCTTTATTCTTTAATCGAAAGTGGTGGGGATCGCTTTTTGTCACGCATGGATGGAAGTGTCATTTCTTGGTTTACTATTTTACCCTTCTATTTATTCTCTTTTAAAAAGATCAATATCTTGTGTCACTTCACAACACTACCAACATCCATTAGGACACTAGGTTGCTACTAAAACTGGCACCTATTTTCTCAAGAACCATGTGCTCTCTTCTATTTTTTTTTTTTGTCTGGTTTCGGATGATCTGAGATTAATAAAATGATCAATTTATGACACTGACTGTTAGTTTTCGAGGACTTTTGGCTTGTAAACGGTGTTGTTTATTTTATTTTTTGTTTTATGTTTTAAGAATATGGATACTGTTACATAGATTATCCCTGAGTCAAAATTCGAAGCAAGAAATTTTTTTATTATAAATTGCATTTCCCAATATAGCAGTATTTAAGCATTTCTCTTTATTGGTGGGGAAGAAGACTGTTTACCATAATTGGTCTTGGGTTCAATGTATTAAAATCATTATTCTTTTTTTATTCACTACATGCATACATTAAAATATTCTCTCCATTTTTTCAATGAAAGGTTATAATTTGGTTAATAATAGTATATAACAGAGAAGATAACAAAGAAGATTCAATGCATAAGTCTTCGAGATATGCTTCTAGCTTGCTTCTTTGTCGTTTTCACATGCAAATCCACATAATTTACATTGGATTTTGTTTAGGGAGCATGGAAAATTATGGTTCCATCCAAGGCAAGGCAAGATGCAATCCAGGTTTATTGGTCAAAGCTAACTTCATCACCCTCTAACGTTCAAGTTTATTTGAATTTTCAATGGGGAAAGAAATGGGAAGAAAAACAGCACCATTCGATTCAATGTTATAAATTGACAACATATTCTTCATAGATTTACATCATCCCTAATAACAAAACAAACTATCTCTAACCTGTTAGGGAAAAATAAAATTATGGCAAAATTAACAAATATAGCCAAACCATGTGAAGCTTGTAATGAGAGCAAAATCCCCAAAAGAAAAAAAGAAAGTGGGAGAAAGAAAAAAATAAATAATATTATGTATATTTATAACATGGAAGCCTATATATTAGAAGCCAATTACTTCATGGACATCTCACATTCCTTCCAGGACCTCCATAATAAAAGTAAGTTCCCCAAACATTGTTTCTCCCCTCCATTATGTCATAGCAATTGGAATGATCAGCCAACTGGTGAATATTTGATAGAGGAAGCAAGTTGTTGTCCCAATCAACAACTTGTAAGTTCCTAAAATATGCTGCTTTTCTAAAACCTTCTTCTGCAAAATGGCCACTTCCCATTTGAGTCCCAGTGTGGTAGCCCCTTGAACGAGAATTCACAATTTCTCCACCAAATTGTACCATGCTTGCATGGCTTCTCAAGTGACTAAACAAGAATGCTGGCCAGTAACCAACTAGTAGCCCCGAACCAAACTCCAGCCACCAATGTCCATGTTTTGGGTCCTACATAGACGGAATTTCACCATAGTATGACTAAGGATTATTGAAAACAAAAGGAAATGCATGTTATATTGTAGGAAAATTCCGTAGCGGGGGACCACCACCAACGGGTGGGCTAAGCTATATCAATCACAACAAGTGGATCCAATACTATGTCACAACCCAAAACCTTAAGGAATTGGGTTCATGGATTAATTCATCACACTTGAAACTTATATGAGATTCATCACACTTGAAACTTCCAACAATCTCCTCTTCAAGTGTGAAACCAAACATTGGTATGTTCTCCCTCAAGTGACTAGCCCAAAGTATTCAATATATATCCCAACATATATAGCTTATAGCTAGAGTTTAAGTGTCAACGTTCACTAATGTGTTGGCATAATTGCATAACATAAAAAGTTTTCCCTTCTTGGGTTAATTAATGTTTTATTATAAACTGCTTGTACCATTGTTGATAATATTATTGGAAGAAAGTATAAATGAGAAAAAGAAGCAGCAAGGCAAGTTTTCCTTTTAATGTTTTAGGCTCGAGAAGCCAGGTACAGCAAAACCAAAATAAAAAAAGCAAATCATGAGCCGCGAAGTATTGCTTTAACAAAGGAAAGGGAAAGGCTCAGATAGAGTCGACCCCATGAGGGACACTCGTACTAAGAAAGCAAGGGAATCTTCCATTTGAATAACAATAACATACAGAAAAATTCAAAAGAAAGTGGGGAAAAAAAGTAAACAAATTATTGCTTCACTTAGAATCTTAGATACAATTTTTTTTAATTCTTAATTGGGTTATGCCTGTTTAACTTTTTTTTGTCAAAGGGAAGCAAATTGTGAAATATAGCAAATAACGGTATGAATAGCAAGAAAGCTCAAATTAACAACATTAACAAACCACTTTCCAAACCATTAAGCCTTTTGTGTTAAGAAAAGGACCCTATTTACTCCTTAATTGGTGGTTTATTTTATTTTATTTTTGTTTGACTTAATTGGATGGGAAAAAAATACTCACCTTCCAAACCATTAAGCCAATATCAAATTGTCTACCATTGTAGACGGATCTTGGGGTGATTGCAGCCCCTATTGCTATCCTGTTGTTAGTCTGAATAAATCCTGAACATAACAAGTTGTAGCATCCAGTTGCTTGATATGCATCTGTCTGTCAAATAGCACATATTTGTAAGATATGAAAGAAACAAAGGGAATGGAAGAAAAAAGAGGCATGCAATACTTACTGTCCAATAAGTGAAGAACCTAGGATAGTTGTCACCATATAGCTCAGGGCTTACCTGAAGGAAAATATGCTTATTAGCCTGAAGCTCGATGGACTAAAAACCAAAGCAAACGAGAAAGAGAATTGCATTCCTAACACATTCTTTAACATCTATATAATATTCACCAAAAAATTGATGAATATGGATATGAACAATGGATAACGCAAGAGCCCTTTGGGCTTGAAGCGTGTATATTACACAAGTCTATTTTTTGATTTTATCTTGTACTGTCTTAATTCCATTAGAAAGATGAGGCGGTGAGGATCAAACTCGTAACCCTATAGTCACGGATCATGTGTAAAGCAAGCATCTCACCCAGAAGTTTAAGGTTATAAGTCACAAGCCTTCAATAATTTTATATTATGTCTTTCTAACAATTGGCAAACTAGGATAATTTAAAAGAAGTGTGGACATGCCTGCCATCCAGCTTCGATGGTATTCAGATCATTACCAAACGATCCAGCAATAACCCATATCTGTGATAAGCTGAATTCGTATTGATCGGTTACGCTGGGTGTCCACACGTTTATGCTTGCTTTTGCTCCGTAGTATTGATCTCCATTTACAAAAAGAACTGCATGCTGCAATAATAGGATGTATTTCAAAATTATCAGAAAACATATATGCACGCATAAGAATGATTTTTCCCATAGTGTGCTTGAACCCTTTTTTTTTAAAATAAAATAAAAAAATTTGTGCTCCTGCTATAAAATATTGTGAGTGTGGCATCCAACAAGGGATACAAGAAGGGCCTCCTCGTGTAAGTAATGATTTTGATGTTACTTTTCGGAGCAAATAGGAGGCAAACTTTTATAAGTGGTGTCTCTTCAATGTCTTTTGTTTTGCAACTTATTATGAACTTTGAATGCTACAAAAATTAAACTTTTTCTTTCCAGTTAAATGTCTTTTGTTTTGCCACTCATGTTGAATTTTGATGGATAAGGAAAAGCAGGGTTGTTCATTTCTTTCTGGCAAGGAAAAGGATAAAACAGAAAACAGAATGCTGAAAAATAAGAGCAGAGATTTTCCTTTCAAATGGAATGCCCTGAGAGAATTGGAAACAATTGAAGGATAAAGTTTGAATTGCGAAAAAAAAGTTTAATTTTTTTTTTAACATTCAAAATTAACAAATCACGTTTGTAATTGTAAGCACTAACCTCATGACCAGTGGCTGATGAGTCTCTCCGTACACCTCTTGGTTTTCTACCAAATCTTGCGATAGAGCTTGCTCTTAGAAAATCTTGCTCTCTCGTTCTTCTGATTGGAACAGTTCCTTCTGGGCATGCTTCACCAGCATCACTCCAAAGCTGAAAGCTCTCTGTTACCATTTCTCCATTGGTGTGTCCCTTAGGCCTTTCAGGTGGATCCTGTAAACCTTAAGCTTGTTACTCTCTCCGTCTCTCAAATAAAATTATATCCCAAAAATAAAACCTCTAGTCCTTTGTTCAGACTAAAGGATAGCTAGGTACATTGAAATCCCATAATGCCTCAACAATTCTATGGAATATGGATATTTGAAATTCAAAGCAAAGTCATTTTCTTTGCATATATAGTAAGTTGGATGAAATTACCAATGGTCTTTGTCCTTTAAGCTCAGGATGGTCAAAAGCTGGTTGCTGATGAGATAAAACACAATCTATCAAATCCCCATCTGGACTCTGCAACAAAAGAACAAAAGCTCAGATCACTGAATCAAGAGAAGAAGAAGAAGAAAAAAAAAACACTGTCATTGTCACAGCTTCAAAAGAAAAGGAAAATGCCTTAATTGTCTTCACAGCAGGCTTGTTTATCTTCTTCAATTGAGCTCTGATTCTTCTCAACTTGTGCAACGCTACACCTGGTCTAAAAGTTTGGTTTGCATTGGGGTGAGATAGTTCTGAGGCTATGGGGTGAGACAGTACTGGACTAACTGAAGTAACAAGCAGCAGCATAATAACGAAGGCATGTAGCATAGGTAGAGTATTTTGGGAAGTAGCAGCGGCAGACAATTCAAGGGAATGATTATGTGAACTTGTTTGTTCTGGGGCAACATGATTTTCTTGTATGCATTGTTGTTGTCTTCTTGTGTGATGAGCTGCGAAAAATGGCTCATTCTTATGTTGTTTTGTCCACCAGGAAGCTGAATATCTATTCATGTCCTTACAAAACAGAACTACTACCTAGAAGAACCCTCAAGTTTGTTGGCTGCCTTCACGTTTTTCAAATTATAAACAACTCTTCCAACTGGTCCTGACTACAGTAGAGAAACACAGAGTAAAGAGAGAGAGAGAGAAAGAGAGAATATAGTGGTCTTAATTTTATGCTCCCACACCATCAAAACTATACCACCAGCACATAAAATAGACACCCTGACCCTGGATTGGTGGGGTTGCATTTTCCAAGTTTTACTTTTACCTCAGCAAAGGTTCTGCTGACAGCAGAATAATTAAAACAGAAATTTATTTAACCAAGAGATGTGTGTTGTATTGTATTGTATTGTGGATTCTTCTTTTCCTAGTCATTTCCACTGTTGAAATCTCTGTAAACAGTTTTTTGTGATAATTGTTAGAGCATTTTTGGTACACAATTTGCAAATCAAAATCAGATTAGGAACATAAAGGAGAGCAATTACATTGGCATAGAGGCAAACTTAAAAATTATTTATTGAAACTATAAATGAGTTGACAAATTCTTACTTTAACTCTTTCATTAATTTAACAAATAAATGACTTTACAGTAATAACACTTTAAAGAAAATTTATTCTTAATAACTTCTTATAAACTTCTTATAGACTCTTCATTTTTATGTATGGAATTCAGTAAATTTGTTTACTTTTTTTTAGACCCTTCACTCATATTGCATACGCTTCAATTCAACTTTCGTAGTGGTTTCTCTTCCCTTTCTTTTTATATACGTTCCGAGTTATCATTTTTGTGCTGTCATCCCTATTCATGTTCCAACCCTACGGAATGTTGTTTCGCTCTCCCCTGGTGATATCTGCTTTTACTTTCACTTTCCTCTGGTCTTATTATTAATTGCAATTCATAGCCCAAAAAGAAATTGACTTTATGATTATGGAGCTACCACATTGTAAGATGCACCGGAAACCAAAGCAACTTTAATGGGCCATGCCTAATTATTATATATCCAATGGCAACAAGCCATAATGAATGACGAGAGGAGCAAGCAAACAACAACCGCAATTTCTTATTATTCTTAACACCTTTTTGACTCTCTCTATATATATGGATAATTAGGTTCATTATCAAAAGGATTACTGCAATTATATCCTGTGTTAGGCCGAACATGCTATTCTAATTACTTGGGTGATTGAAAAAATATTATGCATGAGTAAATATATATATATATATATATATATATATATATATATATATATATATATATTTGAGAAAAATATTTCTCAAGTCACTAGAGATATATTTATTTTCGGTCACCAAAAACTATTTGTTTATTTATTTTCTTATATTAATTTATTCACCTTTGAATGATTATGATTTTCTTTTTCTTTCTCTTCTCTTATCACCATTAATTCATCTTTGTACGGTTATGATTTAGTAACCGGAGATAAAATTATCTTAAGCAACTTGAGAAACGATAAGTCTTATATATAAGGGTGTAAATAGGCTAGACTTTGACTTAAATAGGTCAGTCCTGTGTAAAAAAATTGGGTATAACCTGGCCTACTAGCTTGTGTATGCCCCAAATTATAAATCTAGCCTAACCTATATTTAAAAAATAAAAGTCTTGGCCTAAGCCTGTTAGACTGCTTAAGCCTATTAAACATTCAACAATTAAAGAATAACTAAAATAATATTATTTTATTATTCAAAATTATTAAAGTAATAGTTTTATATATTATATTTTAAATAAATAATATGATATAGGCCGGTCTGTAGACTTATAGGTCTGATATGTACAAAAAAATTATATGGCCTGTTTTCTAAATAGATTTTTTTTAAAAGTCTAGGGTTGTTCTATTTTACTATTTATAATGGGCCAAGTCTGACCTAATATAGGCTAGGCTATAGCCCTTGTAAGCTGGCATAGTCCATTTACACCCCTACCTACATATAAAGTTATCTCAAGTTGCTTGAGATAATTTTATTTTCGGCTATTAAATCATAATCGTGCAAAGATGGATCAATGGTGATAAAGAAAGAGAGAGAAAAAGAAAATCATAAACATTCAAATGTGAATCAAATAATATAAGAAAATAAATAAATAAAATGATATAATTTTGGACTGACCGGAGACAAATATATCTCAAGTAACTTGAGAAATATTTTTCTTATATATATATTTGAAATTTACGTACTTTGATATATATATATATATATATATATATGTGTGTGTGTGTGTGTGTGTGTTGCATGAGATAAATTGTCTCATATAATATATAAAAAAAGGGAAAAACAAGTATTATGTTGTAGGAAAATTCTTAGGTCATGTCATAGAGACAATGAATTATAGGGGCCATTATTTTTAAAATAAAAGAAAAGTAAAAGAATTGATGGGCTCACTTTTATGTGTCTATAGGAAAATTGGTTGTGTCATGTGAAAGGAGGAAAATATTACCTATAAAAATTGAGTTTTATTAATCTCATGTTAAAGGAGATAAGTTATCTCATGTCATAGAGACAAATTTGTGGACTCCACTATCTGAAAAATAAAAAGAAAAGAAAAGAAAAAAGTGGCACAGTTATCGAAGGGTGTGTAGAAAAGAAAGTTATCACATGTAACACAAGAGTAGTTTTTTTCCCTAAAAAAATAAGTGAAATTCATTTTTTCCTTTTTCTTTTTTCTTTCTAATATCTCATTCACTTTTTTATATATTGAATGAAATAATTTGTCTTGTGTAACATATATTATTTTCGGAATGGATTTTTAAAAATTAAAATCTAAACGGTGTGAATTTGAGTTTCAAGCTCATTTACTATGACCAAGTTTAGCCCAGTAATCAGTTTGACGTAAGGAACATGGTTAACTGATGTCAATGGTCAATGGATGGTTAAAGGAGTCAATGGTCTGCGTATGCCGACAAATGACAATTCATCAGAGCGATCGGAGAAAGCTCTGATGTGTTGTTAGAGTGTCCCTTGATACTTAACTTTTGTACCAAACTACTGTATTGTAACTTGTGTAAATTGTATGCTACAAAAGAAGAAAATGTGTCAAAAAAAAAAAAAATATTTTCCGTTTTTGATAGATTGATGTTGGGAAACTCGCCATAGGTGTGTAAATGTTATTTTGACAATTACGGACACGCTTTTAAACCATCCAAAAATATATTTATTTTTTTGCCAATTCAGAATATTATCATTGTTACTTGTCTTTATGCCAATTTAATATTTTATTTGATTAAATAAAACTGTATAAAAAAATTAACCAAAATACTATGTATTTCGCTTTTTAATTTTATAAATTATTAGGAGGGTTCACGATCTGAATTGAATCGGTTTTGAAAACAAAAATATCTGATACAATCTCTTCGGTTTGAACGTGTAATTATTCATTTAGTTTATATTTTTTTTCAAATCAGATCCAATCCAATTTATTCGGTTTGGATTGGATCAGTTTTTGATTTTTTGAAAAATTAATATTTATATGATGATTATTATGCAAATAAAATATCTTTTATATGTATGGGCTTTATAAAGTTTGTATAATGATTATTGTGCAATCTAGAAGTATCAGTAAACGATAATATAATTTTTAATATAGTTTAACAAAAAATTGAAGCTGGATAAACTCGAATTCAAGTATTAATCACCTGTTGGATAAGAAGAAAAATTAGACAATAACAAAGTAAGAAAAATTAATCTCAATTACTAATACAGAGAGATCTTAAAACATTTTTTTTATTTCAAATTTTTGCACATAATTTTTATAGTATAATCACATTCACATGAAAATTATAAAACTAAATAAAAAAAAATCTTTAACTCAATTCAAATGCTATATTTATGTAGCAAAAAAAAATCATATTTTTGTAACGTAGTATCCTATTCAAATGTGGAAATCACAATGACAGTAATAACGGAAACTTGCTAGAATGTATCAATAACTTTTTTTGGGTTTAGAATTTTTTGGAGTATGATTGGGGAATATACCCAAATAGGTAGAGAAGATTTATATATTGTATCGGTTTGGAGTGGATTGATTTTCACCAACCAAATCAAAAATTGATTCAATCCAATTAAAATTTGCTTCGATTTTTGGTTAATTCGGTTATCGCAGTTTGAATCGGTTTGGATCGGTTGATGAACACTCTATAAATTATAAAAGAAAACAATCAAAAGTGTATGAAGATAAGAATCGTTTACGTGCCTTAGAGGGCAGCATGTTACCAGTTGAAATTTTGATCTATAAAATAATTACCATGTATGTAACATATAATTAATTATGCAAATGGATTTAGAAAGATATTCCTATCTAGCATAGCAACCTAGAAAAATTCTCTTGGGCTGTGAGTTGTGGCCACTAGGTTACTTTGTGTTCTTGTGTTGTGAAGCACAAAAGTATGGGCCCATGCACTGGTTATCTTTTTAGGGTTGTGACAGGGCAATGGGGATGCTTCTTCCTTACAGTTCATCACTTTTTCTTGTTATTCCATTATTTCTCACTTCTTTTAACAAATGCCCACTCACTCTCTCACCAAACTTGTGCAGAAAAATACTAGAGGAGCTGTAGCAGTCAGCGTTAATATAGGTCCACAGTATAAAACCTTCAAGCAAAAGATATTTATTAAGATTTTTTTCTTTTAGTGAAACCATGTCCTTTTGAAAAGTGGGTCTTAGTAAACAGATTCCCCCAAGACCTTGACAGTAAAAGATTAAAATTCAAATGTATTTAGAACCAACTTGCATTCCAAGAACTTTATAGTTCTTATCATAAAAGTTTGATTTTATGGCATTAGCTATATAGAATTAGTTCACCGAATTTGCTAAAGGCTGACACAGCTGAGCATGCTTTTAAAAGGAATCAGCATCTAATGAGAAATTAAAGATACCCAAGGAAGAAACACATATAATTAGAAATCAGAAGTGGAGCTCATATATATTCATGACAATGGGCACTGGGAATCATCTGTGTAAAACAATAAATGAAGCAAACAAAAAAGCACATAATTTACTTGTACTTTGTTAGATACATTAATAATATTT